ATGGATAATGTTCTTGATATCTTCCCATAATTCATCTGGCTTTTGGTCGTTGGTGTTCAATGCATCAAATCTATTCTTTAGATGATCTCTAAATTCAGGGGGGATATATTCAAGATCATACTTTGGCTCTCTTGGACTTGTTTTACAGTACCTACCCAAAATATAAAATACTTGGGAATAAATCTCACTAGGGACACAAAAGACTTGTACAAAGAACTCAAATCACTCCTCCAAGAAACCATAAGAGATCTACATAAACAGAAGAACATAATTATGCTTGTGGATAGGAAAATTGAACATTGTGAAAATGTCAATACTACCCGAAGCAATCTATACATTCAATGTAATCCCAATCCTGATCCCATCAGCATTCTTTAAGGATATGGAAAAGCCAATCACTAATTTTATAGGGAAAGGAAAGAGACCTCGAATAAGCAAAGTGCTATTGAAGAAGAAGAACAAAGTAAGAGGTCAAACATTCCCGGATCACAAAACCTAATATACAGCCACAGTAGTCAAAACAGCCTGGTACTGGTACAGCAAGAGATGCAAAGACCAGCGGAACAGAATTGAGAATCCAGAAATAGATCCATCAACCTATGGCCAGCTGATTTTTACAAAGGGCTAAAATCCATTAAATGGGGAAGAGATGGTGCTGGTAAATGGTGTTAGCAAAACTGGATATCCATTTGCAGAAAAATGAAACAAGATCCATACTCACACTATACACAAAAACTAACTCCAGATGGATCAAAGACTTAAATGTGAAACCTAAAACTATAAAGTTTCTTAAGGAAAAATAGGGTCAAATTTAGGGACCCTCATTTATGGAATAAATAGACTGTCAAGCATAACCCAAAATGCACAAACAGCTGAAGATAAACTAGATGATTGGGACCTTCTAAAAATTAAATTTTTATGTGCTTACAAAGACTTTTGCAAAAGAGTCAAAAAAAGAACCTACAAATTGGGAAAAAAATTTTGGCAACAACATATCTGACAAGGGACTTATCTCTAGAATTTATAGAAAACTCCAACACCTCAATAACAAAAAGATTTACACTCCAATTATAAAATGGGCAGAAGACATGAATAGACACTTCACCAAAAAGGATATTCAGGTAGCCAGCAAATACATTAAGAAATGCTCATGATCATTTGCCATAAGAGATGCAAATCAAAACAACAATGAGATACCATCTCACCCCAGCACTAATGCCAAAGTTCAACAAGACAGAAAATAAATGCTGGTGAGGATGTGGAGAAATTGGGACTCATACACTGTTGGTGGGACTGTAAAATGATACCACTGTGGAAAGCAGTATGGCAATTCCTTAAAAAGTTGGAATCAGAAATACCATTTGACTCAGAAATCCCATTACTAGGTATGTATCGTAAAGAAGTGAGAGCCAGGACAAGAACCGATATATGCACACCCATGTTCATTGCAGCACTATTTACAATAGCAAAAAGATGGAAACAAGCTACATGCCCATCAATAGAAGAATGGATAACCAAACTATGGTACATACACACAATGTAATACTATCCAACCCTAAAGAATAATGTAGAATCTGCAAAATACCTCATAACATGTGTGAACTTGGAGGACATTACACTGAGTGAAATAAGTAACTCAGAGAAGGGCAAATATAGGATCAGTTCATTATCTTAAAAAGTCAAGGAAAGGTTTATATATGGAAGGAAACTTTTTTGTTGGTTACCAGGGGTGGGTGTGGTGCAGAGGGAACATTTAGGAGAAAAAAAATGCATTGATGCATGTCACTTTAGTTTTGAGTATTTCACCATACATAAATTATATTTCAACAAAATGTATTTTAAAAAAGAATGTATTGCTAATCTTCCACCATGAATAACAATTTGGTCAAGTACAAAATTCTCAGGTCAGAGATTTTACCTTCAAATTTCTGTGCAACTGCTCATTGTCATCTCACAGTTACTGTTCCAGAAGAGAATGTCAAAGCAAGCCTGATATTTGATCCTCTACTACAAGGCTCTCTTTTAATGTCTGGACTAGTAAAATTTTTACTATGATGGAAATGTTCTATATATGTGCTGTCCAATATGGTAATCACTGGTCACATGTGAATATTGAGTCCTTGAAATATGGCTAGTATGACTGAGAAGCTAATTTTTTAAATTAAATTTTATTACTTAATTGAAATGTATGATTAGTTGGCTATTGTATAGGATAGTATAGGTCTGGATGCTTGTAGGAGTCTTTCTTTTTTCTTGAGATAACAAAAAATTGTCACTAATGTGGAAAAATATTTTTCTATAATGACTAGCACCTTTCTAAAATTTTTATTGTGATTTGGGTGCAAATTTACAAAGCAGCTTAGTTTTACTCTCAACAATTTATACACTTTTGTTTCACAGCACCAATTACAATCCCAACAATTAATAGCTAGCTCTTTTTCCACTTTCCTGTGACTGCCCCTTTTCTGTGTTCTTCTATATGTTTTGGCCCTCTTGTGCTGCTCTAACAGAAAAATACCACAGATAGAATGGCTTGAACAAACAGGGGTTTATTCTCTTACAGTGTAGGAGACTAGAAGTCCAAGTTCAAGTGTCAGTTCTAAGGGCTGGGTGAGGGCCCCTCAACCTTGGGCTTCAGCTCTGCCTCTTGCTCCTGGTCCACTGAAGCTAGAGGCTTCTCTTTAACTCAGACAGCTACTGGCTGCTGAGGCTGACAAACTCAAGGTCAACAAGTAAAATGGCACAGTCCCAAAATTATCAAACCACACAGCAGGGTACTAATTCAAGTCCATTAACAGTCCCAAGATTGGCAGACAACATGCTATGCCAAAAACTAGAGACCTTCCTCAAAGCTTCTTCTTACATACTGCAAGCAGACCACATCCCTATGGCAGCCACTCAGCTCCTCACAGTAGATTCCACCATGGAGTTAATTACAAGTCTCATCATGGGGAATAACTACCCCCAGCTTCCCAGCAACTCAAAACCAGGCCCACCCAAGTTGACACACAACTTAACTACCACATGATCTATGCATTCCTGTTTGTCCAGCTTTCTCTCTTTGCAAACGCTGCTCTTCTGCTCTGATTTCTCATAGGTGTCCTGCTCATAGACCTTTGTACTATTTGCCTGAGAGCTAATCCACATAAGTGAGTCCAATTTCAGGCCCAAAGGATAACCCAGTGCCATAGTCTCTGAGGTTTCACCAGTTTCTATCTAACCAGTAATTCTGGCCATTTTTGTGTTTTTGAATTTTGTTCCACATTTGTCCTCCCACTCTATCCAGGATCTCTAACTGTAATCCTTTTCCAAGTGGTTGGCATTGGTAGCTGGGCCCCATCTAATTCTTCTGTTTTTAGGATTGTCAAGGCTGAGGTTCCCATGGTCCCTCAGACTCCTGGACTAATTGTTTCCATATAACTCTGATTTTCTTCACTCTCCTTTGTGTCAGATGAGGGGAGACCAATAGCTGCATATTAGATGGCCACTCAAAAAGCTTTTAAGACCTCTGTAGCTACTCACCAAAGTAGAATGGAGAACAAGATTTTTATGTACTTGTTGTGTCAATTGAGCTTGATGTCCCCCAAGACCATGGTCCTGAGCCTGCAGGCCCAGTGACTCACTCCCTCAAAGTGTTGGTTGTCACTGAGAAGCTATTCCCACCTTATCCCTTGTTAGTTATATAATATATATGGATATTTTTGTAGCACAGATACACATGTAGAAATATCATCAACCAAATCTATCTATGGTCATGGTTACATTTCTGTTCGCCTACCCACACTTGATCTTCCCATTTGTCTATAAATCCACTTATAGACTAGTGTTGGTTGTTATCGATAAGGCAGTATTGTATATGTAATAATATTTGCCTCTGTTGTCTGTGCCTTTTCTGTGGCTCTTTGTGTCCTCCTTTTCCCTATCGTTATTGGGCTGGTCACACACTTTTGTTATATTGCCTTTCTCTACACCCAAATCAACACATGACTCTTTACTAGTCAAAAAGTTTCCCTCCCCTTTCCTCTTATCCCTGGTAACCAACAAAGTAAATGTCCTTCCCTGAATAGACCTTTCTTTGATTTTTCATAATAATGGATTCATAATATTTGTCCTGTGATTGACTTATTTCACTCAGCCAATGTCCTCCAAATTCATATATATTATGAGGTGATGCACAGATTCTTCATCATTCTTTAATGTTATATAGTATTACACTGTGTGAATGTACCATAGTTCAGTTATCTATTCATCTGTTGATGGGCAGTTAAGTTGTTTCCATCTCTTTGCTGTAGTAAATAGTCCTGCAATGAACATGGGTGTTCCTGTTTCTATTCATGTCCTAGATCTCACCCCTCTAGGATATATTTCTAGCTGGATCAAATAGTATTTCTATTTCCAGATTTTAAAGGAAATGCCATACCATTTTGCACAGTGGTTGTACCATTATACAGTCCCATCAGCAGACTATGACATTTCAAATCTCTCCATACCCTCTCCAGGATTTGTTATTTTCTGCCTTGTTGAACTTAGCTATCATTGCTTGGGTGACATATCTCATTTCTATTTCATTTGTATCTTTCTAATGGCTAATGATTGTCAACATTTCCTTATGTGTTTGTTAGCCACCTGTATATCTTTCTTAATGAAGTGTCTATTCATTTGCCCATTTCTGAATTGGTTTGTTTGTCTTTGTGATGTTGAGGTGTTGAAGTTTTCTATAAATTTTAGACATAAGTCCCTTGTTGGATATGTCATAGCCAAATATTTTTTCTCAATCTGTAGGTTCTCTTTTTACTCTTTGGGAGAAGTTGTTTGATGCACATAAGAATTTAATTTTTGAAGGTCCCAGTCATCTAGTTTCTCTTCCACTGCTTGTACACTTTGGGTTATGCCTGATAGTGTATTTATGCCATAAATTAAGGCCCCTAGGTTTGCCCCTATTTTATCTTTGATAAACTTTATGGTTTGAGGTTTTACACTTAGGTCTTCGATCCATCTTGAGTTAATTTTTTGTGTATGATGTGAGGTATGGATCTTGTTTCATTTTTCTTCAAGTGGATATCCAATTTTGTCAGCACCATTTGCTAAAAAGGCTCTCTCTCCCCCATTTAATAGGTTTTGGCCCTTCAACAAAAATCAGCTGTCCATAGATGGATGGTTCTATTTCTGGATTCTCAATTCTGTTCCACTGGTCTATTTGTCTATCATTATACCAATACCAGGCTGTTTTGTACTTGACTGCTAACCAGAAGGCTGGCGGTTCAAACCCACCAGCCACTCCTCAGAAGGAAGGTTGGGCAATT